TATAATGAAATAATTCATCTCTCTTCACTTATCTCTTACAATATAATTCATCTTCATTCCTACATCAATTTCTTAAACTGAAAAAAAATTACGGAATAAATTATTTGTTATACATTTCTCAAATAAATTATGCTTTTGCAAATAGCATAAAATGGTTATTTTATTAACGGAGAATAAACTAATAAAATAGTGTTTCAACATTTGTTATGTTATTTATGTGATTTTAAATATTTTCATTAAGTAGATAAACAACTTCGAATCAAGTTGTATCAAAATATAACGGTAGACTCAATTCAAAACTCTGCCCAAACCCAATATGTATAACATTTGGTTATGATATTTTCATTAAGTAGAAAATAAATGGAAATTTGTTGTATTACCATTATATTTAAATTCTTTAAAATGCAACAATAACTTTTAAAATTGGATAAATTTAGAATATCAACTTTACTATTAAAATCCTATACTATTATTTGGGGAGTACACTTTATAAGATACACTTAACTAACCTTTCCTTTTGTAAAAATTTACTTAAGAAATGCCATTAGAGATAAAATTTTAAAGAGTAAATTAATTCATCTTATTAAGGATAAACAAGTCAATTTATACAATTTAATTAATTTAAGAGAAATTGTTAAAAATGCCCCTTTTTCAATACCCCTTTTCAAAAATGCCCCCTTTGGAGAGTCCATTTTTAAGTTTGTCATCTTTTAATTTTTAATGACCATTTTACCCTTATTTGAAACAAAATTAGGTCTACAAAATACAAAATATTTTTTTGGCGGGAAAAGTGATCCCGCAATTTTCCCGCCAAAACACTTGTAAAAACCTTTAAAATACCTTGTAAAATTTTCCCGCCAAAATTTTTTTTTTGCGGGAAAAGTGATTTCGCAATTTTTTTGGCGAAATTTTTTTGACGGGAAAAATTTACAAGGTATTTTAAAGGTTTTACGTAGTATTTACAAGTGTTTTGTAAGGTTTTACAATGTATTTTAAAAGGTTTTACAAGGTACTTATAAGGTTTTATAAGGTATTTATAACTTGTAAAACCTTATAAAAAACTTGTAAAACCTTATAACTTGTAAAACCTTATAAAATAGCTTGTAAAATCTTATAATATCTTATAAATACCTTATAAATACGTTGTAAAATCTTTTAAAATACATTGTAAAACCTTATAAATATCCTGTAAAAAACCTTTAAAATACCTTGTAAATTTTTCCCGCCAAAAATTTAACGCCAAAAAAATTACGGAATCACTTTTCTCGCAAAAAATTTTTTTGGCGGGAAAAAATTTTACTAGAAAATTTTACAAGGTATTTTAAAGGTTTTACAAGTTTTTACAAGTGTTTTGGCGGGAAAAATTGCGGGATAACTTTTCCCGCCAAAAAATATTTTGTATTTTGTGGACCTAATTTTGTTATATTTCCTTATATATTTGTGATATCTTTTATTAAAAGAAGGGTAATTTAGTCATTTTTTCATAAAATGGAGTATTTTTTAAAATGGACAGCCAAAGGGGGCATTTTTGAAAAGGGGTATTGAAAAAGGGGCATTTTTGTGAGTCTCCCTTAATTTAATTTAATTATAAAAACGAAAAATACATTATTATTATTATTTTTAAATGACCAATCAAAATAAATATATAAGATTTGATATCTAACTTGCCTTATTAATTTATTATTAATCATTATATTTCACCTCTCATCTTTATATAATTCTATTATTGTGAAACAAATAAATCATCATATCATCCATATAATAATAAAAAATATATTTTTTCCGCATATGCCATAATTTGAAATTTTTAAAACGAATATAAATTATTCAAATTTATCTTTTATACATAAATAAATTCAACAAAAATTCCGCCTGAATAACGGGTCAGAATTTGAGTAATTATATTCAATTTCATATATTTTTTAAAAATATATAATTTTATATACTACGATAAAATTTTAAATATTTTAATTTGGAATATTTAAAAATAGTTTTACTTGATATTTAAAAACAAATATCATCAATACTTAATAAATAAAAAAATTAAAAATTATACATACACTAATTTGGTTTTCTTAAAACATATATATTTAAAAAATATTTATAATAGACAGTGGGTTAAATATAATGTATTATATGATGAAATGAGTTATGATATTTATAGGGAGACTCACAAAAATGCTCCTTTTTCAATACCCCTTTTCAAAAATACCCCCTTTGGCTGTCCATTTTTAAAAATACCCCTTTTTATGTACAAAATGACTAAATTACCCTTCTTTTAATAAAAGATATCACAAATATATAAGGAAATATAACAAAATTAGGTCCACAAAATACAAAATATTTTTTGGCGGGAAAAGTGATCCCGCAATTTTTCCCGCCAAAACACTTGTAAAAACTTGTAAAACTTTTAAAATACCCTGTAAAATTTTCCCGTAAAATTTTTTCCCGCCAAAAATTTTTTTTTGCGGGAAAAGTGATTCCGCAATTTTTTTGGCGGGAAAAATTTACAAGGTATTTTAAAGGTTTTTACAGGGTATTTATAAGGTTTTACAATGTATTTTAAAAGGTTTTACAACGTATTTATAAGATATTATAAGATTTTACAAGCTATTTTATAAGGTTTTACAAGTTATAAGGTTTACAATTTTTTTATAAGGTTTTACAAGTTATAAATACCTTATAAAACCTTATAAGTACCTTGTAAAACCTTTTAAAATACATTGTAAAACCTTACAAAACACTTGTAAATACTCCGTCAAACCTTTAAAATACCTTGTAAATTTTTCCCGTCAAAAAAATTTCGCCAAAAAAATTGCGAAATCACTTTTCCCGCAAAAAAAAAATTTTGGCGGGAAAATTTTACAAGGTATTTTAAAGGTTTTTACAAGTGTTTTGGCGGGAAAATTGCGGGATCACTTTTCCCGCCAAAAAAATATTTTGTATTTTGTAGACCTAATTTTGTTTCAAATAAGGGTAAAATGGTCATTAAAAATTAAAAGAGGGCAAACTTAAAAATGGACTCTCAAAGGGGGCATTTTTGAAAATGGGTATTGAAAAAGGGGCATTTTTAACAATTTCTCATCTTTGTAACTATTTGAATATTTATATTTAAGTTCATACAATTATTTTTAAAAAACTCTTAATTTTATATTCTACAATAAAAAATAAAAAAATATTTTAATTTGGAAAAATTTAAAAATAGTTTAATATAATATTTTAAAGAATATCATAGATATTTAATAAATCAAAAGATAAAAGTTATAAATACTCTAATTTCATTTTTCAAAGCATAAATATTTAAACTATTTATAGCAAGTAGCAGGTTAAATGTAATGTATTATATGATAAAAAGAGTTATGATCTTTATAACCGAAACCATGTTAAGATTATATGATGAGATGAGTTAAATAAGGTTTGACACCACTAAATATTTAAAATTTTGATTCTATAGGTATATATGAAAATAATGAATGATGGATTGTGCACACAATTTTTTTATTGGGATTCTAAAATAAAAATATAGGTATGCACGGGTTGAATTTAATCTTATTATATACCAAAATATGTTTATTATATACGCAATTTTTTTTCACTTACTACTAGCATATATCAAATACATACGTTTTATTTTTAACCAAAAAACGTAAGAAACCGTAAAAATCGAACTGTAACTAAACCGAATTACATACGGTTTCTATATGGTTTTACTTTCTACAAAACGGAAAAAACGATACTAAACCGAAAAAACCGTACCCCACCCCTAATATTTTCTCATCAAACAAAATAAAATAAAAAATCTTTATATGTCATTGTATTATGTAAAGAATTATTAAAATTGTACTATAAAACAAACAATAATCCAACTTTATATAAATATTTAAAAATTAAAAATCAGTCTTGTTGGAACAGCACGGGTTATGATCTAGTATAAATTATAAATTGAAAACGATGTAACTTAATTTTCATAGTAGGGTTTAATATTTTCACATTTATCAAAATAAATATTATTTATGTATACGTATTATATTACTATAATCATTAATTCAATCATCAACACTCTTAAAATTTTTAATTGGCATCAAATATTGTATTAATTAAAAGCAGTAATATACTCTTAATTATTTTTTAAAAAACATAAATATCATTGTATATAGATGAATACAATTCAAATTTTATAGAAAAATCCTCAACTATGAACAACCGTTCAGCAAATCATATGACCAGAAACAAGTCCAAGAATTCATTCGACAACAAACTGGACGGACTTGCGTACTATGTCTGTATTTTGGGATTCCCGTTGATCTTGTAGCATGCAATATTTGAGCTTATAACAACGTTCATGGATCAGGATGTTGGCAGCACAAAGATAAAACGTTGAACCACGGATCATCCGAAAATGGTAAAATCTGTTTATTTACCGTATCATACTTTAACTCTAGATAATAAGGTTGTATGAATTAACTAAGTAGGTGCAAGTTAATCGAACCGAATATGCATTTCTGTAAGAAGCAGCTTCATTGTTCTCCATCAATGTCTCGGTAATAAACTTTGTTGCTTTCTGCCATAATGTAGAATCTGCTGCAAACAAGCTCAATAGTCAATACGCAGATGTGTAATTTTCAGCCTATCAACTTCTGTCTTCTCTCTCATCAATATTCAACATTGATACACATTTGTTTTAAGTAAGCATCACCCTATAACTTAATGGACCGCCTTCTCATTGTTTGCCACATCTGCTTTTGTCTGCTGGTTCTGTTGTGTTGCCTTGACACTTGAAAATCATCTGCAGAACCATTCTAAGTCATAGCAAATTAGCAATCTGAGGGTCCTGTTACTTTAGGATCCTGAACAGAAATAGTAGAGATGATGTGTATGCACTGTATCAACCTGCAAGATAGAACAACTGAGAAATTTTCTTCTGCAATTTGTATTTTCGAGTTAAGAAACCGATGAGCATGAAAATATATAGAAATCCTGAGAATCAACAATTCATCAACAATCTGTGTCTCTCACTATTTCGTAAGGTTAGTTGGGTAGTGAGAGAATCTAGAATGACATTTGCAGTTTGAGTTTGTATTGCTAGTGAATTTTAGTTGACTGTGCGAAGTGAACAAGATATTAGTACTTCAGACTAAACCAGGTAATGGTTTAATTTGTGAGGTTTTTCATGATCTTGCAGTGGCTCTTTGGTAGAAAACAAGAAGCTGAAGTAGGACCGTTTTCAGCATGGAATATTACTGGCACATATAGAGGTTTGTGGCATGTCTTTCGTCATTTTTTCTATAACTTCTTGCGACTTCAGGATTATCTACTGTGTTGTGGGTATATGTCTATTGTGTTATGTTTTAGACTACTTATCAAAAGTGGGTATCTCAGGAACTTGGAAGTTTCTGAATTCCGTAAATAGCTCTTCAAAATTCCAAGACTTTCAAAAAGAAATGGTAATTCTGTCGTTGAGTTAGTGGCAGTTCCAACAAAGATAACTGGTGTGCATTATGTTCAGGTGAACAGTTCGGCTTCTAAAGTCTGTATTTTGGGATTCCCGTTGATCTTGTAGCATGCAATATTTGAGCTTATAACAACGTTCATGGATCAGGGTGTTAGTTGTTTTCCATGACGTATTTGACAATGAACAAAATGTGGGTGGTGCCCAAATAAACCTGGAAGGTGTATATATGGCCCTTTAGGCAACTCCTCCTTGTGGCTAACAGGTACTAACTTTTGATTTATTTAACTGCTCTTAAGATTTATTATTGAGTCTTAACTCCAAGGTCTGTACATCACTTGACCTAAAACAGCGGCAAAGAGAATGATTCAGGGCAAGAAGACAATAATCTTCTCTCAAATCCCTATCATCTGGTAGTCCTTCAGACTCTTGTTTCACCCACTTTAGGCAATGATAGTGCTTTCTTCTGCCGATGGCTTGTTTGATGTGTTATTAATGTTCCAAGAGCTTACTAGTGTCAACTTTCTGTTGTTGTACAGCTTGGAATTATCTCCTCTCAAGTCTTTCAAGAATCTGCAAGAGACAGATTACTGAAACGGAAACTTTTCCAATACGGTTTACTTTTCAGCTACTCTGATCTTCGATTCTCTTGTACTTCAGCTCCAGTACTAAATGAGATGGAGAAGCACTGTAATATCGAAATAGCAGCTCAAGTATCCCGTGTGGCTTCTAGTGAAAATAGTATGCATTCTGACTTTAAACGTCGAGGTGATCCTGGCGTAATCTTACTTTGAGGGGCTTTTCCATATTTTGGTAGATGGAGACAAAAATTATTATCGCATGGAAGGATTGATGGAGAGTCCTGGGGTACGCGATGACTGAGATTGTTTCTCGCCTTTGTTACCGAATGCAACTTCTGTAAATGTCGAAGTCAACTATGAAATTTGTATGGGATGCTGCTTCGTCCTCCTCTGATCTCAAGTTCTATGTTTTCAGGGAATTTCTACCTCAAGACAATTGCAGGCGAGTGAAGAGCCTGTATCATCACCTTTGTCATCTCCAGCTCTGTTGGGTAGTGGAAAAGAAGATGAGCAGAAGATTATCCCAAAGCGTCAGAAAGTTCAGGCTGTCCTCAAGTCCATGAAGCAGGTGTCTTCTTTAACTCCTAGAACACTTGTACTTTTCAGATGATCCTGCTCCATTTCGTTTAATATATGTTTCCATCTCAATCTAGTTATATGGGCTGTATAATGTGCCCAACCTTGCTTGTTTTCAGAGTCCTAGGAAGGTCAACCTGGTTGCAGCACTAGTCCGTGGCATGCGTGTCAAACGGGCTTCACAAACCGTGTACCGGGTAATCTCTGAGCTCCGAGTTTTAAAAAAAAAAAACACTTTTGGAGTGTCTAGTCTAATCTCCTCTCCAGACATTTGATAACTTTCCTCATCTAGCTAATGATACTTAGCATACAACTTGTTATCTTAATGCAATGCTTAAAGGAGTTAAATACATTATAATGCAGGTTATCCACGCTGCCCTGGGAAATGCTACTCATAATCATGGACTAGATCCTGACCGTCTCCTTGTTGGTATGTACTATATAGCTAGTGATACTGGATCCATGATCTCCTTGTTTTGCTTTAAAGAAGAGAACGTGATATGTCAGAGAAAATTTGTCGATTGGTACTTTAAAGAAGTAAACATGATATGCCAGAAATTAAGATGTATTGCAGCTAAGCTTTTGATATGTGATTGCAACGTAAGCATTTGTTGGGAAGGGACTCATGAACTTACTTTATAGTTTGTACTTGATCCTGATTGCTTACCCTCCAAGTTTCCATTTGTTCTCCGAACTTCAAAATATGGAAACCACACATAAATGATTTTATCCTTCGAAAAGCTTCTGAAGAATTCGTTAAATTATCTCATTAAATAAAAGCCTGGAAAATCTAAAACCCACAAAAGCCCCTTTGAAAGAAAAGAAAAAAACCAATTAGCCGAATAAAGCCTCAAACCCTAAGTATATACAGTATATATATATATATATATATTTAACCTACGAGAGCGTGTTACATACCAAACCCTACATATTATTATATAGACCTAATTAAACTCGCTCATTGAGTACAAAATCAAAATCAATATTCTGCACGGAACCCGTCTCAAACCTAAACTCTTTCTTTCAAACTTCATCCCGATCACGTCGAGATCGTCAATATGGTTCTCGAATGGGTAGTCTCAAGCTACACCGCGGTGGCTAAAGCGATCATGGTTCTCTTCTCGCCTCGAAATATCATTCGTTGGGAACTGGAACAGATTTACGAGACAGCTAAAAAGGAGATGGCCTCCTTGGAACGTAAGTGGGAAGAGCAGATCGAGACAACTAAAAAGGAGATAGCTTCCTTGGAACGTAAGTGGGAAGAGCAGATCAAGACATGTGAAAAGGTGGACGAGCTGATCGAGACATGTAGATTGATCTTGGAACAGCAGAAGAAGAAATACATATTGATCTCTTACGCTGTAAGGAACTCATCATCTTAATTCTCAATTATTTTACAAGGGCCTGGGGTTTTGTTCTGATTACACAAAATTCTTTTAAAGTAAACTGTGATTCTTGTTTATGATCAGATTACCTCCCCATCAATGTCTTTCTTTGATTTACTTCTAATATGCTAATGTTCACATGCAGTTAACCGAGATTAAATCCATGGCTTCACGAACGGGGTTGGATCCTCAGGAAATTAAAGAAATGTGCAGAAATCTTGAAAGCAAACAAGTAATCTATTTACAATATTTATTACAAACCACGACCACCTAATCAATCACTTTTCTTTAATCTTATTATTATCTGAAACATTTTTTTTTTTTTTTTTTTTTTTTGGGTTAAAATTTATAATCTCAGGATGAGATTCTCGAGATACTGGGGCGCAACTAAGTCAAGCTACATACGTTCAATGCAAGACAAGCACTAGAGTTGAAAGGCTTCCAACCTCCACTTTGATGGTTTTTTATTTATTTTTTTCTTCTTCTTTTTATAGAACGATTTCTTTTATTTTATTGTAAGAACTTACTTATGCTAATTACGATGTTAGTTTTTAGTAGTAGCGATGATGGTTTATAGTGTTTTTTTTTTTTCTTCTCTTAATTGACGTTTACACCATGAACAACAAGATTGATGAGTTTTGTCCATCAAAAGTAATAGTACAAAGCAAACTATTCATTGACTCAAATTGTTTTTTCAGAAATGTCGTAGTTAAGCTTTAGTAGCATCATGAGGCTTGACTAAATGTGAAGTGACCGGTTTAGTGAAGGAAAGTCAGGGTTCTAATTGGAGTTACGTAATTTATATTTGGGCAATTTTGTAATATAGGTAAAGATCTTTTGGGTGTGATTTAATTTATTTGAAAAGTTGTGGAGAGATGTAAATATTAGAGAACTTGGAGGGGTTTTCCAAGAAGGTTTGGGATTTTAGAGGTCCTCTCTGCGACGTCGTTTCCAGTTTTGTTACGAAGCTCGAGAAGAGAGAATCTATGTCGAACCAAAACGAACCAGCCAGGGCTCTTCTGCCTTACCTGCAACGTGCCGACGAGCTGCAGAAGCATGAACCATGATCTATCTGTGCTAGTTTTTGTTTAATTGGACTTGTTTTGGTGGGCTTTTTTGTGATTGATTAGGTCGGCTATATGCCATGGAACGAGGATTGAAGATTCCGCAGAGCGAGAGAACTAAGACCACCAATTCGATTCTTATGTCTCTCTCATTAATCAACTTGAAAAGGTATTAACCTTAAATTCTGAGTTTTTTTTTTTTCTGATTTATGTCAGCTTTTTTGATTTCTTACTTGTTTAGGATTGAAAGGACTGATTCTTAAAAATTCTCATGGTATGTTTGGCTTTGATTATTCTATGTTGTTACAAAGCTGGAGATTCTATGTTCGGTAAGGAGGCTTATATCTTAGTTTAGCTTAGGTTGGTTCTTGTGATTGGGAAAACGTATGTGAAGCAAGAACACTTGTACATTGCAATCTCTGGTCATTCTCTTTGTTCTATAGTAGTTCCAGTTTCTTATGGCCATTTTTTTTTTGTGTAACTCCAGGATAAGAAATCATTGAATCTGTCCCCAGATGACAATATGCATGTGGAGGGGTTTGCACTAAGTGTCTTTGCAAAGGCAGACAAGCAGGATCGTGCAGGAAGAGCTGACTTGTAAGAATTTTTTTTATGTCTTATGTTTCGATTATCATATTTAATGGCATATGACAATGGTAAGTTTCTAATAATGTTAGGGTTACCGTCAACACTAGCTCAATGAGTCGAATTATCATGCATCTGTAGATTCACTATCTGTCTAGTATTATTGTGTTTGCAATACTGGAAATAGCATATAAGAACATACACTTACGATAAGTATGCAGATCTGGCATACATGTTTTTTGGTGATACCTTCCTCTGACATTGTCTGATGATGACTTTCATGTTCTACTAATATATGTATTTATCTAAATAGAATATAGATGTAAGATAGCGGGTTAAGTAATTAGTTGGATGCATCCAAGGCATATCTCGACCTGTTGGCTTCTAGCCGTTCTGCTTTTGCAAAATACTTGCATCTCCAGCCTTGATGTGTTGCTTTGCATGGTTTGATACTGATATTAGTTCAATAACTGTCCATACCTGCATACATGTGACTCCATTACAGAGGCTTGCCATGGATAATCCATATTAACTTTGTTGTGCTTGTGACAGGGGCACTGCCAAAACTTTTTATGCTGCGGCAATCTTCTTTGAAACTCTGAGCCAGTTTGGCCCTGTACCTCCTGATGTGAGTTCTTACATTTTTTTCATTCACTTATCATCTCAAACCGAAAACTAGCACCTTAAGAGGCAGCTGTGTTAGGAGATTGATATATGTATATGTAATGGTTTCCATTGACAGATAGAGCAGAAACAGAAGTACGCTGCTTGGAAGGCTGCTGACATAAGGAAAGCCATTAAAGAAGGAAGGAAGCCCACTCCAGGTGATCCTGTTGATGATGATAATGATTTACCCATCCCATCAAGCGGTCCTAGTGGCTCCTATGTAAGTTTCTCTTCTCGGAAATTTGTGGGTTGGAAATATCTTGATATTGGCTTAGCGTGTATTCTCTCCAATAATATCGAAGAGTGTTTAAGTGCATAAATGTCTATAGAATTTGTATAACGCTGACTTTCTAGCTAGAGACACACAAATTCACACCCACCTGTGTACTTCTAGGTTTTTGTTTTTTTTCAACTGTCGAAACACTATGATAGAACATCTGCATCAACTTAATCGATTCATCGTTTGTGTATGTTGATTATCTACAGGATCACGGTGCAAGTGATTCCAACACATCAACTCATCATAGAACAGAGCCAGATCTATCTCATGACTCGAATGATGACTCCAACCACCATCACTTCCCTGAAGTGCCACAACACCCTCTACCAATGATTATCCCACAGATGTCCCGCCTCCACCACCGTCTTCTTACCCTTCCAACGATCTCCTTCCCCCTCCCACGGGACCATCAGACTCCCCTTACCAGCATCCTTACAGTCATCAACCATACCACCAAGACCCGTCACAACACATGCCGCCACCACAAAACTACTCAGCCCATGAGCCTTCTCCAAATTCTCTCCCCAATTTCCAATCTTATCCTAGCTTCAGTGAGAGCAGCCTCCCATCCACTCCTCCCCACTACCCTTCTCACTACCAAAACCCAGAACCTTACTATTCTTCTCCGCATTCCGCACCTGCTCCTTCTTCCGCAAGCTTCTCCTCTGCTCCTCCTCCTCCACCTTACTCATCAAACGGGCGTATCAATATTGCTCCTGTGCTAGATCCTGCACCGAGTCCAGCTCAGAAGTACCATTACGACAGCAGCTACCAGCCAGGGCCTGAGAAGGTTGCAGAGGCACACAAGGCTGCTAGATTCGCTGTGGGAGCTTTGGCTTTTGATGAAGTCTCGACTGCTGTAGAACATCTCAAGAAGTCACTTGAGTTGCTAACAAATCCATCGGCCGGTGCCGGTCACTGAATTTTATATTTAATCTGTGAAACTTGGGGTTGATGTTAGTGCGTGTGTGTGCTCACAATCACATCGTGGGTTTGTTTATTAACTTTTCAGGCTCAGACTTCGTGTACAAAGAAAAATGGTGTGAATTATTCTTACTATCAGAAACTTTTCCTTGCAACTTTAGTGTGCATAGAGTGTGATGATGATCTTTTTATTTATTTATTTAATTTATTAACACGTCGATCAATAGTTTTCATATTTTTAGCCATTAAAATGGCATATAGTTTTCTCGATAAGTAATTATGTGCGATGAATGTTATGAAACAAATTATAGTCACTAGCATATATTTTTTTTTTTTTTTTTTTTGTCAACAGCATATTATCACTATAATTTTGTAGTATCTTTTATTTAACGCATGTTTTATTCGGTTGCCTACATTATATTAAAAAAACTAATAGCAAGTGATATTTTTTCGTAAAAATATACAAGTTATTGATTTTTCGACCAAAATAAAAAGAGCAGTTCTTTTTTTCTTTTCTAAAACAATATTTTACATCTTTGCAAGTGCCATTATGTGAATGAACTAATTAAACAACAATCTACACAAATTTGTAAAAAAACCAAAAAAAAAAAAAAAAACTCAAAATCCACCAGAATTTTGTTATTGGGCCTAACTATCATATATAAGCCTAAGTTTCTAAGCGATGCCAAAGGGAAAAAACCTAGTTTCTAACGCCACCGCCCTCTCTTCCCTTCCAGACTCGTTCCATATCCAACTTTTTCTTCTTCACATCCGTTTCCATGGTGATGTTGTCAAATGTACAAGGCTTTTTAAAGGGAATCAATCTCCATCGAAGGTTCTTCTTCGCCGTCTCGTTACTGTGTCCAGCCGGTTATGGATCCGGATTGCTTTGGGCCGGATCCGGATAGTGATAATGTGGATCCGGCCGGATCCGTCTCACGTACTAAGTACGGTGTGCGCGAAACACTTGATTAGAGCCCTCCCAAGATACACGTTGGCATATTGGGGATTTCTTCTGCTCACCATAACAAACAATCATTTTCTCACCATAACGAAGAAGGAGAAACAGAGAAACGAGAATGAGGTTCCTCGTCGGCTTCACTGTTTTACTTACCTCCGTCATCGCTCTCTTAATCTACGGCGCCACTTCACCGGCGAATCTTACCGGCGACGATTTCAAGTTCCCTGCCCCTTCTATCATCCGCGTCTTCTTCAACGGCGCCAGTTCACCGGCGAATCTTACCGATCGAACATACTCGCTCCACTACGACTACTACTGTGAATCTTGCCCCAGCGTTACCGCTCCTTCTATCATCCGCGTCTTCTTCACTCTTACCGGCGATGATTTCAACTTCCCTGCTCCGTCTATCATCCGCGTCTTCTTCAACGGCGCCAGTTCACCGGCGAATCTTACCGGCGATGATTTCAAGTTCCCTGCTCCGTCTACCATCCGCGTCTTCTTCAACGGCGCCAGTTCACCGGCGAATCTTACCGATCGAGCTTTCTCGCTCCACTACGACTACTACCGTGATTCTTGCCCCAGCGTTACCGCTCCGTCGATCATCCGCGTCCTCTTCTCCGATTGCTTCATTGAGGTAAGATTTTCTCATTTTTGGTTCTCCGTTTCTTCTACATTTTGATTTCGCTACTATCTGTCTACGGGTGATTGTTTGGGATCTCGTTTCGTTAGTGTTGTGTTGTGATCTATCTGTCTCAGAATTTTGGCTGTGGAATCTCTGATTTGATGTTATTAGCATAATTTGTTAATGGAATGCTGTGTTTCTTTAGCATTTACTTGGATTTTTGCTCACGTTAAAATCATAATTTGTGAATCGAATTCTGTGTTTCTTTAGCATTTACTTGGATTTTTGCTCACATGTAGTGAAAATAGAAACTTAGAAGTGTGTTTCCTTTTTTCTCTATGCATTTCAGGCTTTAAAGAGTGTAAGTGTGAAGCATTATGAGCTTTGTATAGGGCAGTCAGTATTTAAGATCTTAACAAGTGTGTTTTGTGCTACAGGGATTCGCAGATGAAACACTCTCTACTGAGAACAATGCATCTCCAAACCTTTCCTTGAAAGGGTTTGATGTTATTGACGCCATTAAGTCTGAGCGGGAGTATGTTTCTCCTGGAGGTCTTTCCTGTGCCGAGCTTCCTGTCTTTCTCGAGCTTCCTCTCTTCCCTGCTAGAGAAGCCGCCCTAGTGGTAATTCTCGCTGTCTCACTCTTCTGGATTGATCATGTTGATGTTTCTACAACGCTTTAATCATATCTTTTTGATTTTCAGGCTGGTACTCGAGTATATCGTCTGGTGACTGTAAGAAAATTCAGTGCAGTGGCCTTCAAGCTTCCTGCACCACAGGCTACTCTCTCTCTCCTTCTTGCAAGTGCTGCTTCCAGAGTATTCAGCGAGAGAGAAACCGTCATTTTATCCGGTAATTCTCACTTGTAAACGTTAACTTCTCTCTCTGTTTAGCTAAATCTGGTTGTATTCCGTATTCCTCACTTCTTGGAAATGCTAACTCGTTATGTTCCTAATGTAGGTGCTCACAGCTTAGGCATTAAGCACTGCACTTTTTTTGAGAACAGCCTCTACAACTTCTCAGGAACCGGGAAGCCTGACACTGAGCTAGCGGATGCTTGTCTAGGAGTTGTTTCCTGTTCCAGCCTTGTCCTGGGTGCTAGAGAAGCCGGCCTTCTGGTAAATTCTCGCCCCTCTCTTTCTCTCTTGGTTATTTTTGATTTCGCTACTATCGGTCTATGGATGGATGATTGTTTGGGATCTCGTTTCGTTAGTGTTGTGCTGTGATCTATCTGTCTCAGAATTTGACTATGGGATCTCTGATTTGATGTTGTTAGCATAATTTGTTAATGGAATGCTGTGTTTCTTTAGCATTTGGTGTTGTTAGCATATTCTGTGTTTCTTTAGCATTTACTTGGATTTTTGCTCACGTTAAAATCAGGTAGTGAAAATAGAAACTTAGAAGTGTGTTTCCTTTTTTCTCTATGCATTTCAGGCTTTAAAGAGTGTAAGTGTGAAGCATTATGCCCTTTGTATAGGGCAGTCAGTATTTAAGATCTTAACAAGTGTGTTTTGTGCTACAGGGATTCGCAGATGAAACACTCTCTACTGAGAACAATGCATCTCCAAACCTTTCCTTGAAAGGGTTTGATGTTATTGACGCCATTAAGTCTGAGCGGGAGTATGTTTCTCCTGGAGGTCTTTCCTGTGCCGAGCTTCCTCGCTGCCCTGCTAGAGAAGCCGCCCTAGTGGTAATTCTCGCTGTCTCACTCTTCTGGATTGATCATGTTGATGTTTCTACAACGCTTTAATCATATCTTTTTGATTTTCAGTCTGGTCCTCGAGTATATTCTCTGGTGACTGTAAGAAAAGACAGTGCGGTGACTGTAAGAAAAGACAATGCAGTGGCCTTCAAGCTTCCTGCACCACTGTCTAGTCTCTCTCTCCTTCTTGCAACTGCCTCTTCCAAAGGATCCTCCAAGCTAACAATACTTGTCTTTATTCTTTGGTTTACAACCAAAACGGTTGATGGAAAGTTTGAGCAATACCCTGATGTTCCCTCAGATCACCCGAATTATGTCTTTTTTAATCAGTTCCTGAAGGAACTGAGAGCACAGAATGCACAAAGTCCTATAAATATCTATACAGGTGCTGAAAAAACCAATTATTTGTCTATATTTTGGGCTGTGTTAGCTGCATCGGGAATGCTGGGAGTAGGATATGTTTGGATCAAATTTCAGGTAACAATTCTCTTTCGCTTTATGACAGTAATAAATATTAGCCTCTTAACTATTCTTCCCCCCTTGCAGAGATGGTTAAGCTCTGATCTTAGAGATATGAATGCTTTTTCCAAACATTTGGATGAAAAGATAAATGAGGCGGCGCTCAAACTTGATGAAATGGGCAGATATGCCGAAGAGACAAGAAATATAGCTGCTGATACAAATAGTCAGGTAACGTTATCGATCTTGTTACATTTTGGTTTTTATTTTTTGGTCATATCCTTGTGTAATGTTTTCTGTTATCTACTAAGTTCAGATCAGGGATTTGCGTGAAGAAATGAGAGCTGGTTTTGCACGTGTGGCTGATAGAGGTGATCAACAGTTGATTTTGGACATTCTGTATCATGTCTGCTCACAGATTGGTGTAGACGTCCAACCTTTGGCGGGTAGAGGCGGTGACATCCGACCTGTGGCGCATGGAGGCCGTATCTTGACTATTACCCAGGGAATAAGATCTGTCTTACCAGCGGCAACCCGATCAAGAATCTTCGGCCGTCAGCATTAGCGACTTATATGTTACTTTAGTTAGCAAGTCCGTCCAGTTTGTTGTCGAATGAATTCTTGGACTTGTTTCTGGTCATATGATTTGCTGAACGGTTGTTCATAGTTGAGGATTCTTCTAAGTTTGAGATTGTCTGCATTTTTTTTTGCAAAATTGAGGTGATTAGAGTAAAATGTGTGGTGAAGGATAATCCAGGAGTAGAGTAGCTTTGGTCTAAATTTCATCTTTTGATTGAATTGGGCAAGCTGAATATGATCTAATTGATCGCATCAGTATCCAAGCTTTGTTTTGGCGGTGAATACTCTGAGATGTGTAAGAATGAATCTAGAATCTAGAATGATAAAAAAATAGTCTTACTTCGAGTTCATCTACTCATCTTTGGTAAGCAGGCCACACTATCAAGTATCAGTTAAACCGGGAAGTGTTGGGTTTCAAAATTAACTTGGTAAGTTAAAAACTTAAAACACACATCCACCGTTTTTAGATAGTTATTTGCTATAAGAGGATCCCCTAATAAACCACGTTAATGTTAGTTGTCTTACAAATTCATTCATCTATAAACCAATGTATGTACATCTCAAAGTCTGTATTAACCATTTATTCGGTTTTCGGTCGGTTTTGGTCTTTATATCGAGAACAAGTGAAAACGCGAAAACTTTTTGGATATCGTTCGGATTGGTTACGTATTCTCCCAAAGTAACCAAAAAATCCAAAAATATCTTAAATACTCGAAAAACATTATAATTGTTTCATCCAATTATATTCAAATATATCAAATTTACCCAAAAAAGTATTTGATATACCCGGAAAAAATTATAGGTAAATTACCCGAATATATCCAAATCTACCCGAACTACTAAGAGTAGTTGATGTATCCGAAAAAATGAGTTTATAATTGTAGTTTTGGATATTTAGATTAATTACAAATATAATTATGATCTACTAAATTTTGTCGGTTTCCGTTCGAGTTCGGATCTTTTTTTTCGTTTTGGTTTAGGGTCGGATCTTTGGCTCCGAGTGTTTTGCTCTAACCTAGTTACAATCATTAATAGATCATAAAATAGAAATGTTATTTTCAAATAGGCTCAAGTTACATACAAGTTATGAGTTAAAATAAAGATGTTATTTCCAACGGTGATGAGTTTAAGACTATTCCAACGCCTGTACTCAAAAAGTTTCTTCAACTATTCATTAGCAGTAACGAGTTCAAATTTGAAAAAGAGAAAGAAAAAGAAAAAACGTTCTCTGTAAAATTCTCAAGTCCATCTTTAACGGTCAAATTTAGTCGGCCAGCAGACAAACTCTCAAGTCCGATCAGAAACGAGAACAAAAGAGAAGAGATTGAATTTTGGTGGCACCATGTTCAAGAGAGACGACTACATTCTGGCAGGTACTCTCTGAAGAAATCCCTCTCGGATTTCAAGAAATTTAGTGATTCTGGGGTTAGGGTTTTGCTCCATCTTTCATTCCATTGAAACCCTTTCGAGATCAACAGAATTTCGAATGAAATCTCTTGGAAATTTGTGGAATTTGATTTAAAGATCCCATTTTTAACGCCTGCAACACTTTTCTTCAACGTTTCTTTGTTGGGTCTCCAGGGATTCTGAGTAATTTCATTTGATGTTTCTGGGATTTTTTTCAGGGTTTCGCCCGATCCATGCTTCTGCGTAAACCCATTTCAGAAACTGCAGAATTACGCAAGACTTTTGCGGACTACTCCTTAATTTCTCGAGATTTAGGTCCAAAGGTCTCATTTTTAATCTCCTTCATCACATTATAACTTGTATCTTTGTTGGATAGTAGTTAACTAGGTGACTTAGTCTCATGTTTGCCGTCAAGAAGTTGGAAACACACACATTTTTTAATGTCAAAACTTATACTTTGAACACAGATTCTGATAGGAGCCAACGATAAGGACAATTTCAGAAAAGAGAAAGATCGTGTAGGTAGTAGATACAGAGTCCAAGGAGCCTTCCCGGGTCTGTATGAGCTCGGTCATGACCATGGCCGAAAAGATGATGTTCTTGTGGCTAATCTTGGTCAACCTGAAAGCATTAGATCTCGGCTCCGGTCTTAGACTACATCTTTTGCTCATCATGACTTTCTGGAGCAGGGTTTGTCTCAAATAATTCTTCCTACTGCTCATAACAAAAGTGGCAACCGAACTGAAGAGAAGAAGTATGATTCTGCAGAAGAGAGAGAGAGGTCAGTTCTGATGCAGCTGAGAAGGAGATTAATTCTCTTCCATCTATACTTAGACTCAGTCCGTCCAGACCTCAACCGGTTTCAGAGAGACATGATGACATTGTTGATGAGTCTGACTCTGCTTCTGTTTGTGGAGTCTTACTAGAAGATGGTACTACTTGCACTACAATTCCAATCAAAGGAAGAAAGAGATGCGCAGAGCATAAAGGGAAGAAGCTTTCACGTGTTTCCCCCGAAAATCACATACCGTGTGAAGTTCCCACCGCAAGAGAATCCAAAGAAACTGAGGATACATGTGGAGTGATTTTACCTGATATGGTACGTTGCAGAAGAAAACCTGTTTCAAGGAGAAAACGATGCGAGGATCACAAGGGAATGAGAGTTAACGCCTTCTTCTTTCTGCTGAACCCAACAGAACGTGATAAAGCAGTCAAAGAGGATAAATCCAAATCCAAGAGGCATGAACCAAGAGGGTTCAAGTCCGGGTTTTTTTTTTTCTGTGAAGCTACAACAAAGAATGGTTTGCCTTGTACGAGAAGTGCTCCTGAAGGGAGCAGAAGATGTTGGCAGCACAAAGATAAAACGTTGAACCACGGATCATCCGAAAATGGTAAAATCTGTTTATTTACCGTATCATACTTTAACTCTAGATAATAAGGTTGTATGAATTAACTAAGTAGGTGCAAGTTAATCGAACCGAATATGCATTTCTGTAAGAAGCAGCTTCATTGTTCTCCATCAATGTCTCGGTAATAAACTTTGTTGCTTTCTGCCATAATGTAGAATCTGCTGCAAACAAGCTCAATAGTCAATACGCAGATGTGTAGTTTTTCAGCCTATCAACTTCTGTCTTCTCTCTCATCAATATTCAACATTGATACACATTTGTTTTAAGTAAGCATCACCCTATAACTTAATGGACCGCCTTCTCATTGTTTGCCACATCTGCTTTTGTCTACTGGTTCTGTTGTGTTGCCTTGACACTTGAAAATCATCTGCAGAACCATTCTAAGTCATAGCAAATTAGCAATCTGAGGGTCCTGTTACTTTAGGATCCTGAACAGAAATAGTAGAGATGATGTGTATGCACTGTATCAACCTGCAAGATAGAACAACTGAGAAATTTTCTTCTGCAATTTGTATTTTCGAGTTAAGAAACCGATGAGCATGAAAATATATAGAAATCCTGAGAATCAACAATTCATCAACAATCTGTGTCTCTCACTATTTCGTAAGGTTAGTTGGGTAGTGAGAGAATCTAGAATGACATTTGCAGTTTGAGTTTGTATTGCTAGTGAATTTTAGTTGACTGTGCGAAGTGAACAAGATATTAGTACTTCAGACTAAACCAGGTAATGGTTTAATTTGTGAGGTTTTTCATGATCTTGCAGTGGCTCTTTGGTAGAAAACAAGAAGCTGAAGTAGGACCGTTTTCAGCATGGAATATTACTGGCACATATAAAGGTTTGTGGCATGTCTTTCGTCATTTTTTCTATAACTTCTTGCGACTTCAGGATTATCTACTGTGTTGTGGGTATATGTCTATTGTGTTATGTTTTAGACTACTTATCAAAAGTGGGTATCTCAGGAACTTGGAAGTTTCTGAATTCCGTAAATAGCTCTTCAAAATTCCAAGACTTTCAAAAAGAAATGGTAATTCTGTCGTTGAGTTAGTGGCAGTTCCAACAAAGATAACTGGTGTGCATTATGTTCAGGTGAACAGTTCGGCTTCTAAAGTCTGTATTTTGGGATTCCCGTTGATCTTGTAGCATGCAATATTTGAGCTTATAACAACGTTCATGGATCAGGGTGTTAGTTGTTTTCCATGACGTATTTGACAATGAACAAAATGTGGGTGGTGCCCAAATAAACCTGGAAGGTGTATATATATGGCCCTTTAGGCAACTCCTCCTTGTGGCTAACAGGTACTAACTTTTGATTTATTTAACTGCTCTTAAGATTTATTATTGAGTCTTAACTCCAAGGTCTGTACATCACTTGACCTAAAACAGCGGCAAAGAGAATGATTCAGGGCAAGAAGACAATAATCTTCTCTCAAATCCCTATCATCTGGTAGTCCTTCAGACTCTTGTTTCACCCACTTTAGGCAATGATAGTGCTTTCTTCTGCCGATGGCTTGTTTGATGTGTTATTAATGTTCCAAGAGCTTACTAGTGTCAACTTTCTGTTGTTGTACAGCTTGGAATTATCTCCTCTCAAGTCTTTCAAGAATCTGCAAGAGACAGATTACTGAAACGGAAACTTTTCCAATACGGTTTACTTTTCAGCTACTCTGATCTTCGATTCTCTTGTACTTCAGCTCCAGTACTAAATGAGATGGAGAAGCACTGTAATATCGAAGTAGCAGCTCAAGTATCCCGTGTGGCTTCTAGTGAAAATAGTATGCATTCTGACTTTAAACGTCGAGGTGATCCTGGCGTAATCTTACTTTGAGGGGCTTTTCCATATTTTGGTAGATGGAGACAAAAATTATTATCGCATGGAAGGATTGATGGAGAGTCCTGGGGTACGCGATGACTGAGATTGTTTCTCGCCTTTGTTACCGAATGCAACTTCTGTAAATGTCGAAGTCAACTATGAAATTTGTATGGGATGCTGCTTCGTCCTCCTCTGATCTCAAGTTCTATGTTTTCAGGGAATTTCTACCTCAAGACAATTGCAGGCGAGTGAAGAGCCTGTATCATCACCTTTGTCATCTCCAGCTCTGTTGGGTAGTGGAAAAGAAGATGAGCAGAAGATTATCCCAAAGCGTCAGAAAGTTCAGGCTGTCCTCAAGTCCATGAAGCAGGTGTCTTCTTTAACTCCTAGAACACTTGTACTTTTCAGATGATCCTGCTCCATTTCGTTTAATATATGTTTCCATCTCAATCTAGTTATATGGGCTGTATAATGTGCCCAACCTTGCTTGTTTTCAGAGTCCTAGGAAGGTCAACCTGGTTTGCAGCACTAGTCCGTGGCATGCGTGTCAAACGGGCTTCACAAACCGTGTACCGGGTAATCTCTGAGCTCCGAGTTTTAAAAAAAAAAAACACTTTTGGAGTGTCTAGTCTAATCTCCTCTCCAGACATTTGATAACTTTCCTCATCTAGCTAATGATACTTAGCATACAACTTGTTATCTTAATGCAATGCTTAAAGGAGTTAAATACATTATAATGCAGGTTATCCACGCTGCCCTGGGAAATGCTACTCATAATCATGGACTAGATCCTGACCGTCTCCTTGTTGGTATGTACTATATAGCTAGTGATACTGGATCCATGATCTCCTTGTTTTGCTTTAAAGAAGAGAACGTGATATGTCAGAGAAAATTTGTCGATTGGTACTTTAAAGAAGTAAACATGATATGCCAGAAATTAAGATGTATTGCAGCTAAGCTTTTGATATGTGATTGCAACGTAAGCATTTGTTGGGAAGGGACTCATGAACTTACTTTATAGTTTGTACTTGATCCTGATTGCTTACCCTCCAAGTTTCCATTTGTTCTCCGAACTTCAAAATATGGAAACCACACATAAATGATTTTATCCTTCGAAAAGCTTCTGAAGAATTCGTTAAATTATCTCATTAAATAAAAGCCTGGAAAATCTAAAACCCACAAAAGCCCCTTTGAAAGAAAAGAAAAAAACCAATTAGTCCGAATAAAGCCTCAAACCCTAAGTATATACAGTATATATATATATATATATTTAACCTACGAGAGCGTGTTACATACCAAACCCTACATATTATTATATAGACCTAATTAAACTCGCTCATTGAGTACAAAATCAAAATCAATATTCTGCACGGAACCCGTCTCAAACCTAAACTCTTTCTTTCAAACTTCATCCCGATCACGTCGAGATCGTCAATATGGTTCTCGAATGGGTAGTCTCAAGCTACACCGCGGTGGCTAAAGCGATCATGGTTCTCTTCTCGCCTCGAAATATCATTCGTTGGGAACTGGAACAGATTTACGAGACAGCTAAAAAGGAGATGGCCTCCTTGGAACGTAAGTGGGAAGAGCAGATCGAGACAACTAAAAAGGAGATAGCTTCCTTGGAACGTAAGTGGGAAGAGCAGATCAAGACATGTGAAAAGGTGGACGAGCTGATCGAGACATGTAGATTGATCTTGGAACAGCAGAAGAAGAAATACATATTGATCTCTTACGCTGTAAGGAACTCATCATCTTAATTCTCAATTATTTTACAAGGGCCTGGGGTTTTGTTCTGATTACACAAAATTCTTTTAAAGTAAACTGTGATTCTTGTTTATGATCAGATTACCTCCCCATCAATGTCTTTCTTTGATTTACTTCTAATATGCTAATGTTCACATGCAGTTAACCGAGATTAAATCCATGGCTTCACGAACGGGGTTGGATCCTCAGGAAATTAAAGAAATGTGCAGAAATCTTGAAAGCAAACAAGTAATCTATTTACAATATTTATTACAAACCACGACCACCTAATCAATCACTTTTCTTTAATCTTATTATTATCTGAAACATTTTTTTTTTTTTTTTTTTTTTTTGGGTTAAAATTTATAATCTCAGGATGAGATTCTCGAGATACTGGGGCGCAACTAAGTCAAGCTACATACGTTCAATGCAAGACAAGCACTAGAGTTGAAAGGCTTCCAACCTCCACTTTGATGGTTTTTTATTTATTTTTTTCTTCTTCTTTTTATAGAACGATTTCTTTTATTTTATTGTAAGAACTTACTTATGCTAATTACGATGTTAGTTTTTAGTAGTAGCGATGATGGTTTATAGTGTTTTTTTTTTTTTCTTCTCTTAATTGACGTTTACACCATGAACAACAAGATTGATGAGTTTTGTCCATCAAAAGTAATAGTACAAAGCAAACTATTCATTGACTCAAATTGTTTTTTCAGAAATGTCGTAGTTAAGCTTTAGTAGCATCATGAGGCTTGACTAAATGTGAAGTGACCGGTTTAGTGAAGGAAAGTCAGGGTTCTAATTGGAGTTACGTAATTTATATTTGGGCAATTTTGTAATATAGGTAAAGATCTTTTGGGTGTGATTTAATTTATTTGAAAAGTTGTGGAGAGATGTAAATATTAGAGAACTTGGAGGGGTTTTCCAAGAAGGTTTGGGATTTTAGAGGTCCTCTCTGCGACGTCGTTTCCAGTTTTGTTACGAAGCTCGAGAAGAGAGAATCTATGTCGAACCAAAACGAACCAGCCAGGGCTCTTCTGCCTTACCTGCAACGTGCCGACGAGCTGCAGAAGCATGAACCATGATCTATCTGTGCTAGTTTTTGTTTAATTGGACTTGTTTTGGTGGGCTTTTTTGTGATTGATTAGGTCGGCTATATGCCATGGAACGAGGATTGAAGATTCCGCAGAGCGAGAGAACTAAGACCACCAATTCGATTCTTATGTCTCTCTCATTAATCAACTTGAAAAGGTATTAACCTTAAATTCTGAGTTTTTTTTTTTTTCTGATTTATGTCAGCTTTTTTGATTTCTTACTTGTTTAGGATTGAAAGGACTGATTCTTAAAAATTCTCATGGTATGTTTGGCTTTGATTATTCTATGTTGTTACAAAGCTGGAGATTCTATGTTCGGTAAGGAGGCTTATATCTTAGTTTAGCTTAGGTTGGTTCTTGTGATTGGGAAAACGTATGTGAAGCAAGAACACTTGTACATTGCAATCTCTGGTCATTCTCTTTGTTCTATAGTAGTTCCAGTTTCTTATGGCCATTTTTTTTTTGTGTAACTCCAGGATAAGAAATCATTGAATCTGTCCCCAGATGACAATATGCATGTGGAGGGGTTTGCACTAAGTGTCTTTGCAAAGGCAGACAAGCAGGATCGTGCAGGAAGAGCTGACTTGTAAGAATTTTTTTTTATGTCTTATGTTTCGATTATCATATTTAATGGCATATGACAATGGTAAGTTTCTAATAATGTTAGGGTTACCGTCAACACTAGCTCAATGAGTCGAATTATCATGCATCTGTAGATTCACTATCTGTCTAGTATTATTGTGTTTGCAATACTGGAAATAGCATATAAGAACATACACTTACGATAAGTATGCAGATCTGGCATACATGTTTTTTGGTGATACCTTCCTCTGACATTGTCTGATGATGACTTTCATGTTCTACTAATATATGTATTTATCTAAATAGAATATAGATGTAAGATAGCGGGTTAAGTAATTAGTTGGATGCATCCAAGGCATATCTCGACCTGTTGGCTTCTAGCCGTTCTGCTTTTGCAAAATACTTGCATCTCCAGCCTTGATGTGTTGCTTTGCATGGTTTGATACTGATATTAGTTCAATAACTGTCCATACCTGCATACATGTGACTCCATTACAGAGGCTTGCCATGGATAATCCATATTAACTTTGTTGTGCTTGTGACAGGGGCACTGCCAAAACTTTTTATGCTGCGGCAATCTTCTTTGAAACTCTGAGCCAGTTTGGCCCTGTACCTCCTGATGTGAGTTCTTACATTTTTTTTCATTCACTTATCATCTCAAACCGAAAACTAGCACCTTAAGAGGCAGCTGTGTTAGGAGATTGATATATGTATATGTAATGGTTTCCATTGACAGATAGAGCAGAAACAGAAGTACGCTGCTTGGAAGGCTGCTGACATAAGGAAAGCCATTAAAGAAGGAAGGAAGCCCACTCCAGGTGATCCTGTTGATGATGATAATGATTTACCCATCCCATCAAGCCGTCCTAGTGGCTCCTATGTAAGTTTCTCTTCTCGGAAATTTGTGGGTTGGAAATATCTTGATATTGGCTTAGCGTGTATTCTCTCCAATAATATCGAAGAGTGTTTAAGTGCATAAATGTCTATAGAATTTGTATAACGCTGACTTTCTAGCTAGAGACACACAAATTCACACCCACCTGTGTACTTCTAGGTTTTTGTTTTTTTTCAACTGTCGAAACACTATGATAGAACATCTGCATCAACTTAATCGATTCATCGTTTGTGTATGTTGATTATCTACAGGATCACGGTGCAAGTGATTCCAACACATCAACTCATCATAGAACAGAGCCTGATCTATCTCATGACTCGAATGATGACTCCAACCACCATCACTTCCCTGAAGTGCCACAACACCCTCTACCAATGATTATCCCACAGATGTCCCGCCTCCACCACCGTCTTCTTACCCTTCCAACGATCTCCTTCCCCCTCCCACGGGACCATCAGACTCCCCTTACCAGCATCCTTACAGTCATCAACCATACCACCAAGACCCGTCACAACACATGCCGCCACCACAAAACTACTCAGCCCATGAGCCTTCTCCAAATTCTCTCCCCAATTTCCAATCTTATCCTAGCTTCAGTGAGAGCAGCCTCCCATCCACTCCTCCCCACTACCCTTCTCACTACCAAAACCCAGAACCTTACTATTCTTCTCCGCATTCCGCACCTGCTCCTTCTTCCGCAAGCTTCTCCTCTGCTCCTCCTCCTCCACCTTACTCATCAAACGGGCGTATCAATATTGCTCCTGTGCTAGATCCTGCACCGAGTCCAGCTCAGAAGTACCATTACGACAGCAGCTACCAGCCAGGGCCTGAGAAGGTTGCAGAGGCACACAAGGCTGCTAGATTCGCTGTGGGAGCTTTGGCTTTTGATGAAGTCTCGACTGCTGTAGAACATCTCAAGAAGTCACTTGAGTTGCTAACAAATCCATCGGCCGGTGCCGGTCACTGAATTTTATATTTAATCTGTGAAACTTGGGGTTGATGTTAGTGCGTGTGTGTGCTCACAATCACATCGTGGGTTTGTTTATTAACTTTTCAGGCTCAGACTTCGTGTACAAAGAAAAATGGTGTGAATTATTCTTACTATCAGAAACTTTTCCTTGCAACTTTAGTGTGCATAGAGTGTGATGATGATCTTTTTATTTATTTATTTAATTTATTAACACGTCGATCAATAGTTTTCATATTTTTAGCCATTAAAATGGCATATAGTTTTCTCGATAAGTAATTATGTGCGATGAATGTTATGAAACAAATTATAGTCACTAGCATATTTTTTTTTTTTTTTTTTTTTTTGTCAACAGCATATTATCACTATAATTTTGTAGTATCTTTTATTTAACGCATGTTTTATTCGGTTGCCTACATTATATTAAAAAAACTAATAGCAAGTGATATTTTTTCGTAAAAATATACAAGTTATTGATTTTCGACCAAAATAAAAAGAGCAGTTCTTTTTTTCTTTTCTAAAACAATATTTTACATCTTTGCAAGTGCCATTATGTGAATGAACTAATTAAACAACAATCTACACAAATTTGTAAAAAAACCAAAAAAAAAAAAAAAAACTCAAAATCCACCAGAATTTTGTTATTGGGCCTAACTATCATATATAAGCCTAAGTTTCTAAGCGATGCCAAAGGGAAAAAACCTAGTTTCTAACGCCACCGCCCTCTCTCCCCTTCCAGACTCGTTCCATATCCAACTTTTTCTTCTTCACATCCGTTTCCATGGTGATGTTGTCAAATGTACAAGGCTTTTTAAAGGGAATCAATCTCCATCGAAGGTTCTTCTTCGCCGTCTCGTTACTGTGTCCAGCCGGTTATGGATCCGGATTGCTTTGGGCCGGATCCGGATAGTGATAATGTGGATCCGGCCGGATCCGTCTCACGTACTAAGTACGGTGTGCGCGAAAACACTTGATTAGAGCCCTCCCAAGATACACGTTGGCATATTGGGGATTTCTTCTGCTCACCATAACAAACAATCATTTTCTCACCATAACGAAGAAGGAGAAACAGAGAAACGAGAATGAGGTTCCTCGTCGGCTTCACTGTTTTACTTACCTCCGTCATCGCTCTCTTAATCTACGGCGCCACTTCACCGGCGAATCTTACCGGCGACGATTTCAAGTTCCCTGCCCCTTCTATCATCCGCGTCTTCTTCAACGGCGCCAGTTCACCGGCGAATCTTACCGATCGAACATACTCGCTCCACTACGACTACTACTGTGAATCTTGCCCCAGCGTTACCGCTCCTTCTATCATCCGCGTCCTCTTCTCCGATTGCTTCATTGAGGTAAGATTTTCTCATTTTTGGTTCTCCGTTTCTTCTACATTTGATTTCGCTACTATCTGTCTACGGGTGATTGTTTGGGATCTCGTTTCGTTAGTGTTGTGTTGTGATCTATCTGTCTCAGAATTTTGGCTGTGGAATCTCTGATTTGATGTTATTAGCATAATTTGTTAATGGAATGCTGTGTTTCTTTAGCATTTACTTGGATTTTTGCTCACGTTAAAATCATTAATTTGTGAATCGAATTCTGTGTTTCTTTAGCATTTACTTGGATTTTTGCTCACATGTAGTGAAAATAGAAACTTAGAAGTGTGTTTCCTTTTTCTCTATGCATTTCAGGCTTTAAAGAGTTGTAAGTGTGAAGCATTATGAGCTTTGTATAGGGCAGTCAGTATTTAATAATCTTAACAAGTGTGTTTTGTGCTACAGGGATTCGCAGATGAAACACTCTCTACTGAGACAATGCATCTCCAAACCTTTCCTTGAAAGGTGTTTGATGTTATTGACGCCATTAAGTCTGAGCGGGAGTATGTTTCTCCTGGAGGTCTTTCCTGTGCCGAGCTTCCTGTCTTTCTCGAGCTTCCTCTCTTCCCTGCTAGAGAAGCCGCCCTAGTGGTAATTCTCGCTGTCTCACTCTTCTGGATTGATCATGTTGATGTTTCTACAACGCTTTAATCATATCTTTTTGATTTTCAGGATGGTACTCGAGTATATCGTCTGGTGACTGTAAGAAAATTCAGTGCAGTGCCTTCAAGCTTCCTGCACCACAGGCTACTCTCTCTCTCCTTCTTGCAAGTGCTGCTTCCAGAGTATTCAGCGAGAGAGAAACCGTCATTTTTATCCGGTAATTCTCACTTGTAAACGTTAACTTCTCTCTCTGTTTAGCTAAATCTGGTTGTATTCCGTATTCCTCACTTCTTGGAAATGCTAACTCGTTATGTTCCTAATGTAGGTGCTCACAGCTTAGGCATTAAGCACTGCACTTTTTTTGAGAACAGCCTCTACAACTTCTCAGGAACCGGGAAGCCTGACACTGAGCTAGCGGATGCTTGTCTAGGAGTTGTTTCCTGTTCAGCCTTGTCCTGGGTGCTAGAGAAGCCGGCCTTCTGGTAAATTCTCGCCCCTCTCTTTCTCTCTGGTTATTTTTGATTTCGCTACTATCGGTCTATGGATGGATGATTGTTTGGGATCTCGTTTCGTTAGTGTTGTGCTGTGATCTATCTGTCTCAGAATTTGACTATGGATCTCTGATTTGATGTTGTTTAGCATAATTTGTTAATGGAATGCTGTGTTTTCTTTAGCATTGGTGTTGTTAGCATATTCTGTGTTTCTTTAGCATTTACTTGGATTTTTGCTCACGTTAAAATCAGGTAGTGAAAATAGAAACTTAGAAGTGTGTTCCTTTTTCTCTATGCATTTCAGGCTTAAAGAGTGTAAGTGTGAAGCATTATGAGCCTTTGTATAGGGCAGCCAGTATTTAAGACCTTAACAAGTGTGTTTTGTGCTACAGGGATTCGCAGATGAAACACTTGCTACTGAGAGCAAATCATCTCCAAACCTTTCCTTGAAAGGGTTTGATGTTATTGACGCCATTAAGTCTGAGCGGGAGTATGTTTCTCCTGGAGGTCTTTACTGTGCCGAGCCTCCTTCTTCTCGCTGCCCTGCTAGAGAAGCCGCCCTAGTGGTAATTCTCGCTGTCTCACTCTTCTGGATTGATCATGTTGATGTTTCTACAACGCTTTAATCATATCTTTTTGATTTTCAGTCTGGTCCTCGAGTATATTCTGGTGACTGTAAGAAAAGACAGTGCGGTGACTGTAAGAAAAGACAATGCAGTGGCCTTCAAGCTTCCTGCACCACTGTCTAGTCTCTCTCTCCTTCTTGCAACTGCCTCTTCCAAAGGATCCTCCAAGCTAACAATACTTGTCTTTATTCTTTGGTTTACAACCAAAACGGTTGATGGAAAGTTTGAGCAATACCCTGATGTTCCCTCAGATCACCCGAATTATGTCTTTTTTAATCAGTTCCTGAAGGAACTGAGAGCACAGAATGCACAAAGTCCTATAAATATCTATACAGGTGCTGAAAAAACCAATTATTTGTCTATATTTTGGGCTGTGTTAGCTGCATCGGGAATGCTGGGAGTAGGATTGTTTGGATCAAATTTCAGGTAACACTTACTCTTTCGCTTTATGACAGTAATAAATATTAGCTCTTAACTATTCTTCCCCCTTGCAGAGATGGTTAAGCTCTGATCTAGAGATATGAAGCTTTTCCAAACATTTGGATGAAAAGATAAATGAGGCGGCGCTCAAACTTGATGACATGGGCAGATATGCCGAAGAGACAAGAAAATATAGCTGCTGATACAAATAGTCAGGTAAACGTTATCGATCTTGTTACATTTTGGTTTTTATTTTTTGGTCATATCCTTGTGTAATGTTTTCTGTTATCTACTAAGTTCAGATCAGGGATTTGCGTGAAGAAATGAGAGCTGGTTTTGCACGTGTGGCTGATAGAGGTGATCAAGAGGTTGATTTTGGACCATTCTGTATCATGTCTGCTCACAGATTGGTTGTAGACGTCCAACCTTTGGCGGGTAGAGGCGGGTGACATCCGACCTGTGGCGCATGGAGGCGTATCTTGACTATTACCCAGGGAATAAGATCTGTCTTACCAGCGGCAAACCCGATCAAGAATCTTCGGCCGTCAGCATTAGCGACTTATATGTTACTTTAGTTAGCAAGTCCGTCCATGTTGTTGTCGAATGAATGCTGGACTTGTTTCTGGTCATATGCTTTGCTGAACGGTTGTTCATCGTTGAGGATTCTTCTAAGTTTGAGATTGTCCTGCATTTTTTTTTGCAAAATTGAGGTGATTAGAGTAAAATGTGTGGTGAAGGATAATCCAGGAGTAGAGTAGCTTTGGTCTAAATTTCAATCTTTTGATTGAATTGGGCAAGCTGGAATATGATCTAATTGAATCGCATCAGTATCCAAGCTTTGTTTTGGCGGTGAATACTCTGAGATGTGTAAGAATGAATCTAGAATCTAGAATGATAAAAAAATAGTCTTACTTCGAGTTCATCTACTCATCTTTGGTAAGCAGGCCACACTATCAAGTATCAGTTAAACCGGGAAGTGTTGGGTTTCAAAATTAACTTGGTAAGTTAAAAACTTAAAACACACATCCACCGTTTTTAGATAGTTATTTGCTATAAGAGGATCCCCTAATAAACCACGTTAATGTTAGTTGTCTTACAAATTCATTCATCTATAAACCAATGTATGTACATCTCAAAGTCTGTATTAACCATTTATTCGGTTTTCGGTCGGTTTTGGTCTTTATATCGAGAACAAGTGAAAACGCGAAAACTTTTTGGATATCGTTCGGATTGGTTACGTATTCTCCCAAAGTAACCAAAAAATCCAAAAATATCTTAAATACTCGAAAAACATTATAATTGTTTCATCCAATTATATTCAAATATATCAAATTTACCCAAAAAAGTATTTGATATACCCGGAAAAAATTATAGGTAAATTACCCGAATATATCCAAATCTACCCGAACTACTAAGAGTAGTTGATGTATCCGAAAAAATGAGTTTATAATTGTAGTTTTGGATATTTAGATTAATTACAAATATAATTATGATCTACTAAATTTTGTCGGTTTCCGTTCGAGTTCGGATCTTTTTTTTCGTTTTGGTTTAGGGTCGGATCTTTGGCTCCGAGTGTTTTGCTCTAACCTAGTTACAATCATTAATAGATCATAAAATAGAAATGTTATTTTCAAATAGGCTCAAGTTACATACAAGTTATGAGTTAAAATAAAGATGTTATTTCCAACGGTGATGAGTTTAAGACTATTCCAACGCCTGTACTCAAAAAGTTTCTTCAACTATTCATTAGCAGTAACGAGTTCAAATTTGAAAAAGAGAAAGAAAAAGAAAAAACGTTCTCTGTAAAATTCTCAAGTCCATCTTTAACGGTCAAATTTAGTCGGCCAGCAGACAAACTCTCAAGTCCGATCAGAAACGAGAACAAAAGAGAAGAGATTGAATTTTGGTGGCACCATGTTCAAGAGAGACGACTACATTCTGGCAGGTACTCTCTGAAGAAATCCCTCTCGGATTTCAAGAAATTTAGTGATTCTGGGGTTAGGGTTTTGCTCCATCTTTCATTCCATTGAAACCCTTTCGAGATCAACAGAATTTCGAATGAAATCTCTTGGAAATTTGTGGAATTTGATTTAAAGATCCCATTTTTAACGCCTGCAACACTTTTCTTCAACGTTTCTTTGTTGGGTCTCCAGGGATTCTGAGTAATTTCATTTGATGTTTCTGGGATTTTTTTCAGGGTTTCGCCCGATCCATGCTTCTGCGTAAACCCATTTCAGAAACTGCAGAATTACGCAAGACTTTTGCGGACTACTCCTTAATTTCTCGAGATTTAGGTCCAAAGGTCTCATTTTAATCTCCTTCATCACATTATAACTTGTATCTTTGTTGGATAGTAGTTAACTAGGTGACTTAGTCTCATGTTTGCCGTCAAGAAGTTGGAAACACACACATTTTTTAATGTCAAAACTTATACTTTGAACACAGATTCTGATAGGAGCCAACGATAAGGACAATTTCAGAAAAGAGAAAGATCGTGTAGGTAGTAGATACAGAGTCCAAGGAGCCTTCCCGGGTCTGTATGAGCTCGGTCATGACCATGGCCGAAAAGATGATGTTCTTGTGGCTAATCTTGGTCAACCTGAAAGCATTAGATCTCGGCTCCGGTCTTAGACTACATCTTTTGCTCATCATGACTTTCTGGAGCAGGGTTTGTCTCAAATAATTCTTCCTACTGCTCATAACAAAAGTGGCAACCGAACTGAAGAGAAGAAGTATGATTCTGCAGAAGAGAGAGAGGTCAGTTCTGATGCAGCTGAGAAGGAGATTAATTCTCTTCCATCTATACTTAGACTCAGTCCGTCCAGACCTCAACCGGTTTCAGAGAGACATGATGACATTGTTGATGAGTCTGACTCTGCTTCTGTTTGTGGAGTCTTACTAGAAGATGGTACTACTTGCACTACAATTCCAATCAAAGGAAGAAAGAGATGCGCAGAGCATAAAGGGAAGAAGCTTTCACGTGTTTCCCCCGAAAATCACATACCGTGTGAAGTTCCCACCGCAAGAGAATCCAAAGAAACTGAGGATACATGTGGAGTGATTTTACCTGATATGGTACGTTGCAGAAGAAAACCTGTTTCAAGGAGAAAACGATGCGAGGATCACAAGGGAATGAGAGTTAACGCCTTCTTCTTTCTGCTGAACCCAACAGAACGTGATAAAGCAGTCAAAGAGGATAAATCCAAATCCAAGAGGCATGAACCAAGAGGGTTCAAGTCCGGGTTTTTTTTTCTGTGAAGCTACAACAAAGAATGGTTTGCCTTGTACGAGAAGTGCTCCTGAAGGGAGCAGAAGATGTTGGCAGCACAAAGATAAAACGTTGAACCACGGATCATCCGAAAATGGTAAAATCTGTTTATTTACCGTATCATACTTTAACTCTAGATAATAAGGTTGTGAATTAACTAAGTAGGTGCAAGTTAATCGAACCGAATATGCATTTCTGTAAGAAGCAGCTTCATTGTTCTCCATCAATGTCTCGGTAATAAACTTTGTTGCTGCCATAATGTAGAATCTGCTGCAAACAAGCTCAATAGTCAATACGCAGAGTGTTTTTCAGCCTATCAACTTCTGTCTTCTCTCTCATCAATATTCAACATTGATACACATTGTTTTAAGTAAGCATCACCCTATAACTTAATGGACCGCCTTCTCATTGTTTGCCACATCTGCTTTTGTCTACTGGTTCTGTTGTGTTGCCTTGACACTTGAAAATCATCTGCAGAACCATTCTAAGTCATAGCAAATTAGCAATCTGAGGGTCCTGTTACTTTAGGATCCTGAACAGAAATAGTAGAGATGATGTGTATGCACTGTATCAACCTGCAAGATAGAACAACTGAGAAATTTTCTTCTGCAATTTGTATTTTCGAGTTAAGAAACCGATGAGCATGAAAATATATAGAAATCCTGAGAATCAACAATTCATCAACAATCTGTGTCTCTCACTATTTCGTAAGGTTAGTTGGGTAGTGAGAGAATCTAGAATGACATTTGCAGTTTGAGTTTGTATTGCTAGTGAATTTTAGTTGACTGTGCGAAGTGAACAAGATATTAGTACTTCAGACTAAACCAGGTAATGGTTTAATTTGTGAGGTTTTTCATGATCTTGCAGTGGCTCTTTGGTAGAAAACAAGAAGCTGAAGTAGGACCGTTTTCAGCATGGAATATTACTGGCACATATAAAGGTTTGTGGCATGTCTTTCGTCATTTTTTCTATAACTTCTTGCGACTTCAGGATTATCTACTGTGTTGTGGGTATATGTCTATTGTGTTATGTTTTAGACTACTTATCAAAAGTGGGTATCTCAGGAACTTGGAAGTTTCTGAATTCCGTAAATAGCTCTTCAAAATTCCAAGACTTTCAAAAAGAAATGGTAATTCTGTCGTTGAGTTAGTGGCAGTTCCAACAAAGATAACTGGTGTGCATTATGTTCAGGTGAACAGTTCGGCTTCTAAAGTCTGTATTTTGGGATTCCCGTTGATCTTGTAGCATGCAATATTTGAGCTTATAACAACGTTCATGGATCAGGGTGTTAGTTGTTTTCCATGACGTATTTGACAATGAACAAAATGTGGGTGGTGCCCAAATAAACCTGGAAGGTGTATATATATGGCCCTTTAGGCAACTCCTCCTTGTGGCTAACAGGTACTAACTTTTGATTTATTTAACTGCTCTTAAGATTTATTATTGAGTCTTAACTCCAAGGTCTGTACATCACTTGACCTAAAACAGCGGCAAAGAGAATGATTCAGGGCAAGAAGACAATAATCTTCTCTCAAATCCCTATCATCTGGTAGTCCTTCAGACTCTTGTTTCACCCACTTTAGGCAATGATAGTGCTTTCTTCTGCCGATGGCTTGTTTGATGTGTTATTAATGTTCCAAGAGCTTACTAGTGTCAACTTTCTGTTGTTGTACAGCTTGGAATTATCTCCTCTCAAGTCTTTCAAGAATCTGCAAGAGACAGATTACTGAAACGGAAACTTTTCCAATACGGTTTACTTTTCAGCTACTCTGATCTTCGATTCTCTTGTACTTCAGCTCCAGTACTAAATGAGATGGAGAAGCACTGTAATATCGAAGTAGCAGCTCAAGTATCCCGTGTGGCTTCTAGTGAAAATAGTATGCATTCTGACTTTAAACGTCGAGGTGATCCTGGCGTAATCTTACTTTGAGGGGCTTTTCCATATTTTGGTAGATGGAGACAAAAATTATTATCGCATGGAAGGATTGATGGAGAGTCCTGGGGTACGCGATGACTGAGATTGTTTCTCGCCTTTGTTACCGAATGCAACTTCTGTAAATGTCGAAGTCAACTATGAAATTTGTATGGGATGCTGCTTCGTCCTCCTCTGATCTCAAGTTCTATGTTTTCAGGGAATTTCTACCTCAAGACAATTGCAGGCGAGTGAAGAGCCTGTATCATCACCTTTGTCATCTCCAGCTCTGTTGGGTAGTGGAAAAGAAGATGAGCAGAAGTTATCCCAAAGCGTCAGAAAGTTCAGGCTGTCCTCAAGTCCATGAAGCAGGTGTCTTCTTTAACTCCTAGAACACTTGTACTTTTCAGATGATCCTGCTCCATTTCGTTTAATATATGTTTCCATCTCAATCTAGTTATATGGGCTGTATAATGTGCCCAACCTTGCTTGTTTTCAGAGTCCTAGGAAGGTCAACCTGGTTGCAGCACTAGTCCGTGGCATGCGTGTCAAACGGGCTTCACAAACCGTGTACCGGGTAATCTCTGAGCTCCGAGTTTTAAAAAAAAAAAACACTTTTGGAGTGTCTAGTCTAATCTCCTCTCCAGACATTTGATAACTTTCCTCATCTAGCTAATGATACTTAGCATACAACTTGTTATCTTAATGCAATGCTTAAAGGAGTTAAATACATTATAATGCAGGTTATCCACGCTGCCCTGGGAAATGCTACTCATAATCATGGACTAGATCCTGACCGTCTCCTTGTTGGTATGTACTATATAGCTAGTGATACTGGATCCATGATCTCCTTGTTTTGCTTTAAAGAAGAGAACGTGATATGTCAGAGAAAATTTGTCGATTGGTACTTTAAAGAAGTAAACATGATATGCCAGAAATTAAGATGTATTGCAGCTAAGCTTTTGATATGTGATTGCAACGTAAGCATTTGTTGGGAAGGGACTCATGAACTTACTTTATAGTTTGTACTTGATCCTGATTGCTTACCCTCCAAGTTTCCATTTGTTCTCCGAACTTCAAAATATGGAAACCACACATAAATGATTTTATCCTTCGAAAAGCTTCTGAAGAATTCGTTAAATTATCTCATTAAATAAAAGCCTGGAAAATCTAAAACCCACAAAAGCCCCTTTGAAAGAAAGAAAAAAACCAATTAGTCGAATAAAGCCTCAAACCCTAAGTATATACAGTATATATATATATATATTTAACCTACGAGAGCGTGTTACATACCAAACCCTACATATTATATATAGACCTAATTAAACTCGCTCATTGAGTACAAAATCAAAATCAATATTCTGCACGGAACCCGTCTCAAACCTAAACTCTTTCTTTCAAACTTCATCCCGATCACGTCGAGATCGTCAATATGGTTCTCGAATGGGTAGTCTCAAGCTACACCGCGGTGGCTAAAGCGATCATGGTTCTCTTCTCGCCTCGAAATATCATTCGTTGGGAACTGGAACAGATTTACGAGACAGCTAAAAAGGAGATGGCCTCCTTGGAACGTAAGTGGGAAGAGCAGATCGAGACAACTAAAAAGGAGATAGCTTCCTTGGAACGTAAGTGGGAAGAGCAGATCAAGACATGTGAAAAGGTGGACGAGCTGATCGAGACATGTAGATTGATCTTGGAACAGCAGAAGAAGAAATACATATTGATCTCTTACGCTGTAAGGAACTCATCATCTTAATTCTCAATTATTTTACAATGGCCTGGGGTTTTGTTCTGATTACACAAAATTCTTTTAAAGTAAACTGTGATTCTTGTTTATGATCAGATTACCTCCCCATCAATGTCTTTCTTTGATTTACTTCTAATATGCTAATGTTCACATGCAGTTAACCGAGATTAAATCCATGGCTTCACGAACGGGGTTGGATCCTCAGGAAATTAAAGAAATGTGCAGAAATCTTGAAAGCAAACAAGTAATCTATTTACAATATTTATTACAAACCACGACCACCTAATCAATCACTTTTCTTTAATCTTATTATCTGAAACATTTTTTTTTTTTTTTTTTTTTTTTGGGTTAAAATTTATAATCTCAGGATGAGATTCTCGAGATACTGGGGCGCAACTAAGTCAAGCTACATACGTTCAATGCAAGACAAGCACTAGAGTTGAAAGGCTTCCAACCTCCACTTTGATGGTTTTTTATTTATTTTTTTCTTCTTTTTTTAACGATTTCTTTTATTTTATTGTAAGAACTTACTTATGCTAATTACGATGTTAGTTTTTAGTAGTAGCGATGATGGTTTATAGTGTTTTTTTTTTTTCTTCTCTTAATTGACGTTTACACCATGAACAACAAGATTGATGAGTTTTGTCCATCAAAAGTAATAGTACAAAGCAAACTATTCATTGACTCAAATTGTTTTTTCAGAAATGTCGTAGTTAAGCTTTAGTAGCATCATGAGGCTTGACTAAATGTGAAGTGACCGGTTTAGTGAAGGAAAGTCAGGGTTCTAATTGGAGTTACGTAATTTATATTTGGGCAATTTTGTAATATAGGTAAAGATCTTTTGGGTGTGATTTAATTTATTTGAAAAGTTGTGGAGAGATGTAAATATTAGAGAACTTGGAGGGGTTTTCCAAGAAGGTTTGGGATTTTAGAGGTCCTCTCTGCGACGTCGTTTCCAGTTTTGTTACGAAGCTCGAGAAGAGAGAATCTATGTCGAACCAAAACGAACCAGCCAGGGCTCTTCTGCCTTACCTGCAACGTGCCGACGAGCTGCAGAAGCATGAACCATGATCTATCTGTGCTAGTTTTTGTTTAATTGGACTTGTTTTGGTGGGCTTTTTTGTGATTGATTAGGTCGGCTATATGCCATGGAACGAGGATTGAAGATTCCGCAGAGCGAGAGAACTAAGACCACCAATTCGATTCTTATGTCTCTCTCATTAATCAACTTGAAAAGGTATTAACCTTAAATTCTGAGTTTTTTTTTTTTCTGATTTATGTCAGCTTTTTTGATTTCTTACTTGTTTAGGATTGAAAGGACTGATTCTTAAAAATTCTCATGGTATGTTTGGCTTTGATTATTCTATGTTGTTACAAAGCTGGAGATTCTATGTTCGGTAAGGAGGCTTATATCTTAGTTTAGCTTAGGTTGGTTCTTGTGATTGGGAAAACGTATGTGAAGCAAGAACACTTGTACATTGCAATCTCTGGTCATTCTCTTTGTTCTATAGTAGTTCCAGTTTCTTATGGCCATTTTTTTTTTGTGTAACTCCAGGATAAGAAATCATTGAATCTGTCCCCAGATGACAATATGCATGTGGAGGGGTTTGCACTAAGTGTCTTTGCAAAGGCAGACAAGCAGGATCGTGCAGGAAGAGCTGACTTGTAAGAATTTTTTTTATGTCTTATGTTTCGATTATCATATTTAATGGCATATGACAATGGTAAGTTTCTAATAATGTTAGGGTTACCGTCAACACTAGCTCAATGAGTCGAATTATCATGCATCTGTAGATTCACTATCTGTCTAGTATTATTGTGTTTGCAATACTGGAAATAGCATATAAGAACATACACTTACGATAAGTATGCAGATCTGGCATACATGTTTTTTGGTGATACCTTCCTCTGACATTGTCTGATGATGACTTTCATGTTCTACTAATATATGTATTTATCTAAATAGAATATAGATGTAAGATAGCGGGTTAAGTAATTAGTTGGATGCATCCAAGGCATATCTCGACCTGTTGGCTTCTAGCCGTTCTGCTTTTGCAAAATACTTGCATCTCCAGCCTTGATGTGTTGCTTTGCATGGTTTGATACTGATATTAGTTCAATAACTGTCCATACCTGCATACATGTGACTCCATTACAGAGGCTTGCCATGGATAATCCATATTAACTTTGTTGTGCTTGTGACAGGGGCACTGCCAAAACTTTTTATGCTGCGGCAATCTTCTTTGAAACTCTGAGCCAGTTTGGCCCTGTACCTCCTGATGTGAGTTCTTACATTTTTTTCATTCACTTATCATCTCAAACCGAAAACTAGCACCTTAAGAGGCAGCTGTGTTAGGAGATTGATATATGTATATGTAATGGTTTCCATTGACAGATAGAGCAGAAACAGAAGTACGCTGCTTGGAAGGCTGCTGACATAAGGAAAGCCATTAAAGAAGGAAGGAAGCCCACTCCAGGTGATCCTGTTGATGATGATAATGATTTACCCATCCCATCAAGCGTCCTAGTGGCTCCTATGTAAGTTCTCTTCTCGGAAATTTGTGGGTT